CCATTGGAACAGGCAACCTTGTTGTTAGGAGCACATGCTCTCAACAGCTGAGCCACCCTGCCACTTGTTGGCAGCTCAGCAGCAGCTCAGCTCAGGTGCAGCTCACTGGCCCATGTGGGAATTGAACCGGTGGCCCTGTTGCTCAGAGCTTGCACTCTCAACCAACTGAGCCACTCGGATGGCCCAACATACTTACTAAGAGTTAGTGGTTATACGCTTATTAAAGCCCCAGGACTTCTAAATGTCAGAAGGAAGAATTAACGAGATGGATAACTAATTGACAATTAGATGATAACAACAAAATTCTTCTGATGAAGGACCTCTTTTTAAAAAATAGTTCCCATACTTTAAGGGAACATTAGTCCCTTTTAGTAAACTGGAGCGGCCAGGCTTGGTCACACCTTGCCCCTAGCCAAAGTAGAGTCACAGTCGCACTCCGTCTGCCCCTCCCCCAACCTGGCACCTGTCCTTCCTGAGTGCCTGGGATGGCACTACACATTCCATGGCCAGGGCCTGAGCCAGGGCTCGGGGCCACAGTGAATCAGGACAGCCCTGCTGTCAAGGGTCTCCGTGTCCCAGAGAGAGAAAAACAGTAACACAGGCACACATGTGTCAGAACTGTGGTGCGCAGCCCGTGAAGCGCCCATGGGGAAGCGAGAGGCAGGAACAGAGGCCCCTGCAGGAAGTGGGGAGCAGGCCCTGTGGGAGAGGGGCGCAGGGGTCTGCTGCCTCTTGGGGGGAGGGGACCTGAGAGGCCTTAGGGAGGAGCTCACCGAGGAGAGTGAGTTTGGGGGACCAGGAAGGGCCTCCGTGGGCACTCAGATAGCAGATGGAGGGTCAGGGGGGTCGCCTGTGGACACCGAGAGGAGGTGTTCCAGGAGGTTAACTCGCCTGGCTGCCAGGGACATTCTGGACCGAGTCAGACTGGTGACCGCCTGTGGGTTCCCCGGAGCTGGGGCCTTGCCCGCCGGTGCCACCTCCCTGTCCAGGCCCTTCTCAGCTCCCCCATTTACCTCACGCTCAGTCATCCCAGCTTTGTGCTGGGCTCTCACCTGTCCTTGGGTGCTACAGCGTGTGGCCTGTGTGGCCCTTCCACAGAGGTGACGTGGGACTGACTGTGCCTCCTGCCACCCCAAGCTGGGTGGCAAACCACAGCTTCCCGCTGCCGTCCCGGTCCCCAGTTAGCTCCGCCATGGGGAAGCGCTCCGGCCCCACGTGACCTCTGCTGGCCCTTTCAGCGGCCTAGGGCCTTCCAAGGAGGCATTCCATCCACCCCCACCGGCCAGCCGATAATCCTGTCCTTAAAGGGAAAGCAGGACGCTTAG